TGCCTAAGCAGGGAGTTGGATTAGAAGACCTCCAAGGTCCCTTCCAACTATGCTATTTCTATTCTAGTCCATGAATTCTAGTCTAGTCCTTCATCGGCCTTGCCGAGCCCCTAAGGAGCAGCCCGGAAGGTGAGCCCCTCCTAACTTTTACAATGGGGGGGAGGACTACTAATGTTTGGTTATACTGGGGTAATAATCATCCTTGATTACACAGCCACTGTGTCAGTATTCCAGAAAAACCAAACTCCCTCACCCCTCCTTCCCTCAGAAATAGCCTGAAGAAAAAGAACTTACAGAAGGAAAGCGATTTCCACTTCTGCCCTCAGAAACAGCCTCAAGCAAACAGCCTGAATGAGACTAAGTTTCATGAATAGAAATAATGTTTCATTCATAAAACCAGACCTCCCTCATTTACTAGGGAAAGCAAAGCAGCAGCGATCTCGAAGAGGCAATACAAGGGAAGCAAGCTGAAACTGATCAAATGATAGGATTAGACCAAGGAAACGAACACTTGAGATTAGCATTTCCCCCACCCTGAGGGCTAGTTACAATCTTGAGTAGGCATCAAAAGAACATTAGTTAAATAATAAAAGACACACAAATCCTAGCCCCAAAATGGCAAAACACCAAAAATGTATAAAAAACCATCAACTTATCAAACTAACCACAGGTTCATCTGGTTCGGGCAGGTTTGAGTGAACCGGTTGTTAACTTTTTGTACAGTTCAGAGAACCGGCTGATCCCACAACTAGCTGACCCCACCCTATCCTGTCCCACCCCTCCCGGCCACTCCTTATCTCACCTTGCCTGCCTTGGCTGGTGCCTAGACTCACGCCCATGGTCCAGTTGCTCTTTCGTCCTTCGCTAGCTCACTTTCCCAGATCCCACAACCCAGCTGATCTCTGCCCTTTGCCCGCTTGCCTGCCTTCACCGTGACCTACCACACTGGCCACATGGCCCAGATGATTTCCATGCCTCACCCGCTCTGCTCACCCCAGCTGCCTGCGAAGGTAAAGCACTCGACTGAAGGGCTGCTTTGGGTTGCACATGGCAAAGCTCAGCTGACTTGCAGGCCTGGTTCTCACCATCTTCTGCCCATATGCCACCCGCTTGCCCTCAGGGGGTATGCGCCACCTCCTGCCTTTCTAAAGGGATACCTGCCCCCACTGCCCCGCTTGCTCCCACATGTTTCCACCATGGTCTCACCTTCATTGGGTTGGCTCACTTACCTCTTCTCAACTTCCTCTCCTTCAGAGGGCCCTCACTCACTCTCTCTGATTCTTTCCCCATGACTGCCTCTTTCTTTGTCCCTCCCTCCCCTTTCACCACCCAGCTTCAGCTTGTGGAGCAACTGGGACCGGGACAGTTGAGCCCTTTTAACTTTGGCGGCAAAGGGCCCACTTGGCTGCCTTTGCACAGGGCTGGATGGTGGGCAGCATCAAAGTACCATAAAGGGACAGGCCACGGCGTCTGCCTTCCAAGCAGCTTTGGCTGTGAAGAGAGGTGGGAAAGTTTGGCCAACTCATCTCCTCCTTCTCGGCCTTAAACATACAGAGAAAACACACACATGCCTCAAGGTGCCAGAGGGACTTGCAGAAGGTCATGGAGCACATCACGAAATTCGGGAAAGTGCCAGTGGGGAGAGAGACCTGCCCACCCAGGATTGGCCTTGGTAGTGACCTGGTGCCAACTTTGGTGCCAGATAGCTCAGCTTTGGGTTCAGTGTGGTGACTTCTTCCCAGCTGGTCCTTCCTCACCCACCCACTGGTCCACATGCTTTGGCTGAACACAGGCCTTAACTTTGTGGGCAGCCGCATTGAGCAGAGCAGTGGCCTCCGGGTGGGAGGTCTGAGCAAATATGTCTCCCCTGAGGGCTGTCTGCTCACCCACCTGCCAGCCAGTGTGGCCTGGAAGTGGCATGTCCCTGTCATGGATGCGGGACTTGAGGCAGAGGGGAGGGTGAGCAGGTGGCAGCACAGAGCAGGGCCCGAAAGGCGGCTGAGCCTCACTGTGCCCCCTGCAAGCTCAGAGTGGATCTCCCTTTCCAGCTGTCAGCCTTACCTTCCAGCCCATGGGGCATCATTCTGCTTACTGCAGCTACCCATGAAAGTAAGTGTGATGACTCAGGGCATGGCACAAAGGCAGCACAGTCAAATAAGCGATAAGAGTCCCTTTATTATCTCCAACTTTGCCCCCAAGGTCCAGGTTGCCTTCGACTGGAGAAAGACACCCCCAGGAACAGCCTTTAACTGTAGAAAATTCAGTCCAAAACAAGGTGCATACAAACTGTAACTAAAAATCCAAAGAAACCAAGCTGAAGTAATTAGCTTGAGAGGGCTGGAGAAGGAATTTTAGATTTGAAAGCATGGCAAAACTCACACAGTTGGGTAGACGCCAGGAACACAGACAAGGCACGGTGATACAAGATAAAGTCATGTTTGTTCCCAACAGCTTGCTGCGCGCAGCTTCCTTTTTTATACAGTGTTCCCAGCTGCAGCTAATGAAGGGAATCAGGGCCCTTTCCTCCCCGTAAGCCATGCAACTGACATTGCTCCCTTCTCCGTTACTCCCTGCATGCCCTAGGATGAAGAGGGGGTGGGCCTGGGTCTTCCTCTGAATTCCCTCTCCCTTGCTCTACCTCTCCCCTGCTCTGCCCAGCCAGACTTTGCCCTTCCCCAGTTTCTTCTACAGCCAAAGGAGCCACACTCCCACTCCCTGTCAGCTTTCAGCCTCCCACTCCGAGTCCGATTCTGACAGGGCCATGACAGTAAAGCCCGCACATGGCCAAAGCACGCATGGCAGCCAGTGGATGAAGGAGGGGTGGCTGACAGAGGGATGATGTGGGTGGCATAGCCTCGTGCTCCCTGGTTGCCCCTTGCCCCCTCACCCACTGGCAGGTGAGGGCCAGCAGCTGCAGAGAATCCAAGCAGGGGGCGAGATATGGGCTTGCGGGGGGAGCCAAGAGACAACGGCTTAGCCTTGGCTTGCCTCCCTCTCTGACATCAGCCATGACAGGAAAGTAAGTTCACAGTCACAGCCAGCTGGGAAAGCCCAGCCCAGAGCTGCCGGCAGGGGTGGGCAAGGCTGCAGGTTTTGAAGCACCCCTTGCTTGAAGTTTCCAGTCCTTTGTTTGTAAATCTCCCCCAAAAAGGGAGGAGAGAAAGTCCCAACCGCTGCCCCTTCATTGGATGTGGAAGCCTTGCCTGCCAGCCTTTCCAGGCAAGGCATGTCAGACATGCTTTTTCTTTGAGGCTGACAATGCCGGGCTGGGCGTGATCATCCCTTCATGCACGGTCCCAAGGAGATTGGCCAGGAGCTCAGTCTAAGGCTGGCTGGCTTGCAAGGCAATTGTGGCCTGGCTCAACTGGAAGGAATTGTGAGACAGATCTGTGAGATGGAAACTTATCAAACAGATCCAACCTAGAAATAAGAAGAAATTTCCTGACAGCGGGAACAATTAATCAGAGGGATTGAATGCCTTCAGAAGTTGTGCGTATACTGCTAGGAATTGTTAGTCACCTAACAGTTGGGTTGGAAATATATAAACCAGGATAGACTTTTAATACTGTCTCTTTAAGGGAATACTAAAATTGTAATTGGGTGTGGTTCCTCAAACGGCCATAAGATGGAGCCAGAAACCTGGGTTGTTCAGTTCTGTTGTTAGTTGCTAGTTGCTAGATGTTCTGATGGTTGATATTTTTGATTCTTGCATTTTTCCCTATTGACTGTTGCTGATCGTCATTATTTTTGGATTGCTGTAAGTCTGTTACTGAACTGTGTATGATACTGGACTTTGTTATTTGGATTATCCCTGGACTGAAAACTGATTACTTTAACCGTGAATGACTTGGACTGTTTGTTGAACTTTGCTTAACCGTTTACTGGAAGTAAAACCTACATTTTGCTATTCGGGGTATCTGTGTGCTGGTCGTGTGTTATTCAACATCACTCTCACTACATTTCCCTGTATGCACTCATTCTCCTAACGGGGAATTACCTCAACATATACCATCACTGGAGGTTTTTAAAAAGAAATTTGTCTATAATAGTATAGAGTCTCAAGCTTGAGCAGGGGTTGGACTAGAAAACCTCCAAGGTTCCTTCCAACTCTGTTATTCTTTATATTTTCCATTCAGTCTTACCAAGACAATGGTGACAAACCATACTTGGAAATGTACGTCAGGTCTTCTGATAGCAAAATCTCATCTTATTGGAGAGTATCAAGGGGAAGATGACTTTGAAAAAACTTCCTCCTTCACTGTAACGTGAAAGACAAGGCAAGGAATGGCTGGGAGGGGAGGCAAGATGCCTCTCGATGGAGTGATATTGAGTTAGCCACGCTCACTCAGTAACATGACTACCCAGCTACGCCTACCCAGCAGTCATTAGGGCAGAAAACCAGTTGTTAAATTATTTGAATCCCACCACTGAAACTAATTGGTTAGCTGTCCCAAAACTGATTGCTGAAGTCGCTTCTGAACATCAGTAAAGTGAATCTTCTTTTCTCTCTTCCTTCGGAGGCACCCTCATTTCTCCTACAATATGCTTCTGCAAAATATATGTAATTTCGTAGAATGAATATTGGGAGAGATGGAGAAACTGAACAGATATTTAGCCAGCTTTTTCTTGTGCAGCATTTTACTAATTAAACCAAGGCCTTTTCAGAATGCTAAAGTTTATCAAAATATTATCAAAAAACAACTCAATCTAGTTATTCTATCCATCAGTTTCACCTAACAATTGGTAGAAACATGTTTTAACTGTACGACTTCTATAAAAATTGATTGAGTGTTATTTTTGGAAGAGAGGCAAAGCATCTTTAAAAAAAACACACAACAAATAAATAATGCTGAAAAATCAAATTTATTTAGAAAAGCCTGTAGCTCAGTATTAGTCAATAGAGACACAACTGTCCTCTGTGGCATGAAGCAACTTTTATCATCTTCAGTTATGGAATCATCTATCATTTTTCCTGGAACAAGATATTGTGTCTTCACTAGCACACATTCTAGTAAACTTTCATTCAGATGACTGCAATGCAGTTTGGACGGAACTGGATTTGACAACAATCTGGAAGCTTCAAATGGTACAAATATGGCAACAAAATATTGAATGAATTAAGCCCTTATTAGTCCTTTCAAGAGATAATAATTCATCATCAAGGACCATTGTATGTTGAGTAATAATGCTTCCATATATTATAACTAAAGTGTAGCATCACATTGAAAAGCTTTGACCTCAATGTCCTTTTACATTGAATGCAGTAATAGACTTTCTGTACACTATATCTCCAGTTTTGCAGCAGCTTCCAGAGAAGACATGCCTAATACCTATTTATTCATCCCTTTGGACCCTGGCAGAGAGCTTTTAAGACTTACACACTTTAGTTTTAATATTTGATATATATGCAGAAATACTATCTTAACTAATTTTATCTCTGATGTTTTAGTTTCTGCCATTTTAACAGCTTACTTAAATGATAGTTTAACAAATCACTTTATTATATTTTGTATGGGTTTTAACTGATTTTTTACTGTTCTTCACTATGAGAACTGTTATTATATGGTAACTAACAAATTATTATATTATTATTATAGTTTGTGAAAGATTAATATATGTCAAGATTATCCAAAATATAAATAGAATGCATAATTTTTAAACAAATGCCTATAATGTGACCATTCAAGCAGTGTTAATTAAATTATGTCATTACCTTAATAACAAGTACTGATCAGATCTGATTCTTCCCCCTTTATTTGTATCAATACTTTCATATAAATGCCTAATATTCTCACAGCTGTTAGATTGCTATATACTTTAGTCTAGAAGATGCATTGTATGAAATATAATGCAGTACAAATGTCAGCCCAGGGACTAAATAGCTTGTATTTCTAAAGAACCATGAAAAAAATAGTAACACTATAGAAACAATGGTTCAGTAATTACTTTTTGCTGTGGAGAGAGTTGGGCATTTATCCTTATAGATCCCTAATACACTTTAAGTCAGCTCTGTCCCGGTGGTCCTTTTTTCCTTTGTTGATAAATGTATTGTACTGGATACCTTCTATGACCACTACAGCATTTGAGGTCATGCTAGGCTGTTAGCACAAATGGTGTGAACAATAGTTTATATGCCACTTAACTCCTTGGGAGAAACAGTTAACCTTGCCAGAGAGGACAGATCTGTCATGTATAGTTATTAAAGCCTAGCAGGTTTTGTTAAACCCTTACTTATAAAAAAATAATAATACAGAACTGCAGTATTGTTCTGGTGCCAGGCAAGAAAGCAACAAAGCAAACAGTATTGGGTGTGGATACTGTCTTTATGGAAGGGATAGTAAGTTTCTGCCTCTCTGCTTTTAATATTTCACATGTAGGTCTTCCTCAATATACTTCTGCTATGAAGGTAGTGAGCTGGGGTTTTTTGTTTTGTTTTGTTCTAGTCTAAATTAGGTTTGCCAAAGTCTATAAATGAATATAAAAAACTCTCTAACTCAGATAGATGAAGGCTATTTTTGAAAAGGTCATGCTTTTGATCAGCTAACTTCATAAAATCTAAACATAAACGAGATGGTAGCATTTTGATTATAAATTTCAAAACCATCTTAATACACTATAATTGCCTGTGCTGCCTGTGACATGGATGACCCTTATCATTCCAAGATATAATTTACAATTAACTCAAGGAGGTATCTTGAAAGCAATTTAAATCCCCAGAGTCACTTAAAGAAAATGGAGGACGATCCAGACAAAGAGGAATGGAACAGAGTGGGAATGTTATCATTGGCGTGCTGGGTTTGCTCTAACTCAAGGGTAGTTTGGAGAGAGAAAATCAACATTCATATTTCTCTGCTGCATCAAGGTATCTTTACACAGTTTTATACTGTGATGAGCTTGGTGCCCCCACAGTTCCTCACAATAAAATATAATGTAAAGATGCCTCCGTTAAATCACCATCTTTTTTTCTATAAGGTGCATGATTGTGAGTTATTCTTCTGTTTTTACTGGCTGATTGAGCTATCTAGGTTTATCTTGTACAAGAAAGGCAGCTGTATAAGTTTTGTAAATAAATGAAGAGAGGAAGAACAGTAAGAGACAGAGAGCGAGAACATTCTAATACAGAAAATGGTGTAAACAATTTAGTAGGTGGCAATCCACCTCAAGGTATGGGACAAAGGAGCATTTTTCAAGTGATATGCTCAAATTCACACACAAACCATTTTTAATTAAGTAGCTATTTCGTATAATAGCAACATTATAGATTCATGCTAGATTTTATGGAGTAAAATTCTACTTTGTAAGCAGCATGCCGTCATCTGATTTTGAAAGATAAGCTTTGTCTTCTTTTAGAACATGCTGAGCAGAATATGAGATATAGAAAGTATAATCATATACTCAAAAACTATAGATTGAGTGGAATACAGCAACAATGGGGAACCTGTGCTCTTCAGATACTATTGAACTGCAACCAAAGCTTCTCTCCTTTCAACCCAGAAGCACCCTTCAGTAAGTTTTGCAGAGGCTTCTGGTCTAAATACAGGCCATGATTGCAAAGACTGTTGGGAGCTCTATAGCATTTGAAGAACATACAAGTTCCCAATACTAGACTTCAAAATTACTACCTGAGTAGAATATCTGATATGCTGTCATAGATTTAAAAAATGGCATTCTGGACTGAATATTGCCCACAAATGTAAACCTTTAAAAGGTGGGAGGACAACTAAAGATCTAACAACAAAAGAAGTGTTGCCAACTTCTTTTCTTCTATGATAAGACTAAATTGCTTATTGTATATGAAACAGGTTTTTTATATCAGTTTGTCAAATATTCCTAATAATCTGAAAAAAAACACAATAAAATTTAAATGACATACTTTTGTAAAGACCAAAAAATGAGGTTATATTAATTATCCTAACCATGCAATTATCTCATTTCCACTCATTTCAAAGAGCTTATTCAAGTATCAAGAGGAAGGGAGTAGGAGAAGCTGTGATGCAGATTCTGTGATATATTCATAAATCAGGAGTTTTAGAGCCTGCCATGGTCTCCATAATGAGGGTCATTATTCAGGCAAGTGTCAAAACTACTATCAAAGGACCTTCTCAGAATCACAATCATTCTGTTTCTTGTTAAATAAGCAATGTAGTACACAAAAATGGCAAACAAGGAGTAGGTCAATTTGATACAGTATGAGGGCACCAAGACTCTAGAGTAATTTACCCTCTGGGAATTGTGATGGCTGGTGAGATAAATTATATACACCCTCTGAAAAGATTAATGGTAATAAAAAAAATCCCTGAAATAGCTTCGGGGGAAAAAATACACCTGTACATAAGTAACTTCAGCAACCAAGTAGATATATGCTTAATACAATGTGATTAATTAGGAGGAGAACAAAACACATGTCACTATTTCAGCAGATACCATTACAGGTAAAGGCATGTTTCACTTTTCAAAAAAAAATTGCTTCAATTAGCATATAGTAACTATGTTAAAGACCAATCTGTCAATCAAAGATCTTCAAATAGATTTTCTGAGAGTTTTTGTTACTGATTAATAATATCAGTCATTAACTGCCTACTTCACTACAACCACAACTACAGTAATACTTAAAAGTATTCCAAATAATCTATGAGATATATTTTTGTATTCATCTGGGGGACAAAAAGATATAATGAAATGGATGAGATTTATTCCTGAATGTTCTGGTGCCCATCATTTTATGTCAGTTTTCAAAAAATTAAGCTTAAGGCCAAATTAAGAAAAAAAATTAACTCAGGACATCTTCTTTGTTGAATACTTAAGAGGAAGAAGGAATTTCAGAAAGTAAAATTCTTATGTCAGAACTGTCATGCAATCAGAATTCCAGCCTCCTTTTAAGATGATCATGCTTGAAAGAATGCTTAAGGACCAATATCTATAAACAATATAATAAATAATATTAAGGCCTAAATTATTTTCCCCTGCTAACAAGGGCACTTTCGTTTGCCATTCCTTCCTTTACAAGTGTGAATTTATAAGGCTTTTAAGTCAATCAACCAAGACTAAAACAATTTTACAGCACAATCCTGTGCTGTAAAAGATGGCTTATTAAAATTTGCTGCCTGATAAATACAACAACCAACAATTACATGCTCAATAATACCTGGAATTGGTTTACAGAAAAGGTAGAACATTGTTATTTAATTATTCAATCTTTAAATGATGGTTTTGGTCTATCCTGGATGGAAATGTACTTAAAATAAAAGCTCTGTGACTTGGCATTTAAATTTGTCTTCATTGTTTGTCAGTTGGTTCAAAGTCAATATTCCTGCTTCTATCCAACTTTTTATTATCACCATCTTTTCCCCAATTTTTAAAGTTGGATGTCCCTGTAAAGTTAATTTAGCATTGGAAAAGGGATCAAATCTTTTTTTATTAGACACTATATATATTTGATAACTTTCTCATTTACATACCGGTAATTATTTCCAGAAATACTAGAGTTCTAATGTATTTGATCCTAATACTGTCCACCCAAACAAAGGTCAGGGATGGGATGCTACCAGTTCGGCCCAATTCTATAGAACCTGTAGCTGCAAAGAGCAGCTGACACTGAACCGGTTCGGTGTTTGGCCCACCTGCTTGCCTGGGCTCTCGGCTGTCCTTTATTCCCTGCTTTTCCCTCCTCAGCTGCTTTGCGCGGCACAGCTGAGGTTGAAAAAGCAAGAAACGAGAGGATTTTCAAATGCTGCGCACCCGAGTGCAGCGCTTGTCAGCTGTCCAGGTGGCACAGCTGATGATTTCTTGCAAAGGCTGCACACACGATTGTCCCCAGTTCGGAGAACCGGAAAATCGCTAAACTGGCTGGCCCCCTCCCCTCCCCACCCACTCACTCCTTACCTGGCATGTGAGCCATCCAACTTGCCTGGTTTGGTAAGTTGCTATTTTTCCTTTTTTTTTTCCCCCAACCATCAGCTGTTCTGCTCTGCCGAGAGATTTAGATTAGCTAGAAAGCAGGAAATCCTTGGA